GGATGGATGGATGGATGGATGGATGGATGGATGGATGGATGGATGGATGACAGATGACAGATAGATGGATAGATATGATAGAGCATCATAGCCCAGTGACATGGAAGATGGTTCTGTTTTAATCTTCAAGGAAAAAGAACCATAAAAGTGTGATATCTGCAGTAAGGAATAGCTACAGTGATGTCCTTCATTTTGTCTGGCTTCTTCTCTCTTTATCCCATGATGGAAAATGGCGCAACCCCTCTTGATGTTAGGGAGAAGGTCCTGGGAGCAATCGGTTGTTATGTTTAACTACAATTTGCAGCAAAAAGAGCCCTTGAAGAGATTCTAAACAGATATGGAAAAATGTGTTTTTTTAACATTAGAACTGCCTAATTAAATTGGCAGCATCGAAATTGAGTTTAGGAATGGATAACGGTCCTCTCTCATCTGACTTTGCTTCAAAGGTTGTAAAATTAACCCAGCCTGGGTTTCTGTCCAAAAGAAGTAGGGTCAACTGCCAAAAGTGAATTCAGTGTGGTGAGAACAAGCATGTTCTTCACTGCATGTGTTAGAATCCATCACAAGATATCTCAAAACTATCTATGGGGGGGGGGGGGGTTTGTGTACACAAACCCTCCTTAATAAGTGTGATGAAGATAGGTTTTGGGCTTAGTCTACTGCTGGGCTTTTCAAGAAAGCTGCCTACACAAAAATTTTATATCAAGAAAATAAATTGATTACAAAACATAAAACGTTCATATTAAGAAAATAGAAACATGTGTGCGGGCAGAAATTGAACACATGAATGCAAGAACAGGAGGTAGTGAACTGAAATTTGGGAAGAAAAAAAATGAATTCAAGTAAAATCAGATGCCCTCATCCTTTGCTTTTAAACAACTGTTGGCTGCTTATATTGTTAGCGGTAGATGTGAAATTGGTAATATGGGATTACAGAACAGTTTAACCTCTTTGACGCTTTGTCATTTCTTTCATCATTCAAATCCTGACCACTATATCGTTGCAAATGAGCCCATGAAGGAACCTGGCCAAGCAGTAGCCAAGCTGCTTCCAGGCAAGTTCTGATGAGGACCAGATTCCTCTTTTCTTTCCTCTCTCTCTTTTTTTAAATTCTGCAATTTCCTGAGCCAGCACTTAATGCAAACACAGCCAAAAGCAGAGAGATCTCACGCTCAGTTTTGATTTGGAGAAAATCAACCTAATAGAAAATATCTGGGTTATGCTGGAAACGTTGACATCAGGAATAGTTTCACTTACTTGTATGGGGATCAGATGGACCACTTTCTATTTCATACCCCTTACTGTACTTGACAAGATTGCCACAAAACCTGGCTTTCCAGATTCAGCCCAGACTCCCTCAGCCCAGAGGGCCCCCCTCCATTTCCCCATCGCTAGCATTTAAAAAGAAAACTCAATAGTCCTCCCATCCTCCCATCTCCTTTCCTCCTTCTTCCATTACGAGGCCCTTGGCAAAGAGAAGAGGTTTAGCACCAGTTTGCTCCAGAACCCATCCAGCTGTTTCTAAAACTTAAAGGAAAGAGAGAAATAAGAGAAGTCACTACTGCTAGTGAGGGTTGGGAAGGAGGTGAAAATGTTACAGGAGTGGACCAGTCAGGCATCCTGCCAACATGTTCATGGTTGCTTCAAGAAATGTTCAAGAGAGCATTTTATAGGACCAGCTTGATCCTGATGGGTCAGGGATAGATAGGATAACTTGGAGTCCTCCAGATGTCTTGGAGTTCAATTCCCATAAATTCCATTCCAGTGTGGCCAATGGCAAGAGAGTATGGAGACTGTGGTCCAACAATCTGAAGGATCCCAGGCTGTAGTCATCTGACACAGGATACCCAGAAGCAAAGGAAGGTGGTTCCCTGTCTCCAGAGTTGCCAAAATAGCAGGTTGTGGGGCAGGAGAAAAACTTGGTTTGTTCCCATGCAGTGTTATCAGCAGACATACCACAAACATATCCAGTTTGGTTTGCTTATCTGAGCTGAATCATTGCTGCAATGCGGAGAGTTGATTCAGTTTGGAGATCTGGTTGAACTGCATTTGATCTGAAGTCCCAGTTGAGCCCTTGCATAGATCCTGGTCCTGGACACTTCCTCCTAAAACGTAATTTGCTACCTGGTGCAACAGCTTCATTCTGCTAATGGTAGGACTGGCCCAATTAAGCAATGTTGAGAGGATTTTGGAAAGTATTTGTGCTTGCAATTTGTCCTACTTTTACCCTTTCTGCCTTCCTTTCAGTGAAGGGCAATCAGAAATGTGAACTTAACTGCCGAGCTGTAGGCTATCGATTCTACGTGAGACAAGCGGAAAAGGTCATTGATGGGACACCATGCGATCAAAATGGAACCTCCATCTGCGTGTCGGGACAATGCAAGGTAGGAACGACGCCAACCTTGAGAGTGGATGTTTCCTCTTCTATGTGATTGCTGTGGATTTATATAACCAAAAAAAAGGAGAAAAAAACAACAGGAATGTAAATATTTTCTGTATATTCCTTTGGACTGCTTTTTATAGATAAACACAATCTTTTTCTTTAAGTCTAGCTTTGTCTTCTGTCCTCTTGCTTGTCCACATCTGGAGAGTATCAGACATGTTCTTGGAAGTTATTTTTAGCAATTCAAAGCATAGTTGGAAGCTTGAATGGTCTTTGTAGATGAGAGATATGGCTGGCGTTCAGATTATTTATTAAGGCATCTTTTGATATAAAGCTGAAGGCCAGAAGATTGTTGATGTTTTGATCCAAACAGAGTACATGTAATGCCCAAAGGCCAACTTCACAATATGGCCATAGTGCACATCGGAAATGCTTGCTGGAGGAGAAGATACGAACATGGAAAGAAAGCTTATAACCATTTACTCGCATATTTGAGAGTAAGCCTCAGTTGGATTTATGTCAGAATATACATGTAGAGATTGTGCTGTAAAACCAAGGAAACATGTTTGTGTGCATAAACTATCACATACCCTTTTAACACTCTCATTTACAGATGTTCTTCACGTTTGTTTATACTAAGTCAGAGCTCTGAAAAAATAGCCATTTTGGCCTCCTCTCTGCAGATAACACCCTGAATAGCGTTTAGGTTCAAATCTTTGGAGCACAAGGAAAGCCCTGAGTCTGTCTCGGGCTCTTGACCTATCAAGCCCAGCCTTCTGGGCCCAACTGGGTGCATTTTGGAAACTCATCAGCATGGACCAAAGGGTACAAGTCCTCTTTCCCTGTTGATTTCCAGCAACCAGTATGGAAGGTAGTGGTCAACAACCACAAATATTCACAGTCATTTGTTTCATGATTCCCCATGAACATCCTGTCCCCTTGGCTGTCATCAGCACAACTGCTGGTAGTAAATCTCACACTCAAACTACATGGTGTGTAAATATGTATTTCCTTCTATTAGTCCCGAATTGCCCTGCATACCATTTCAATGGATAACCCTGACTTCTAACTTTGTAGAGAGTGTGAAAAATGTCTCTCTTCATATTATCTATGTCATGCTTTTAAAAGACCTTTGTAGTGTGTGGCCCCACACTTTGAGAAAAGAGAAGGAGGTTCTTGAAAGCCAACTTGATTTTGCATGCAGATAAGTAGATATTATGAGTCTGTCGTATCTGGTCCTTCTCTTTCAACTCTATTTGCACAGTCATCATACCTGCAGTCAGTATGTGAAAAAGAAAGCTTTTAATGTCCAGGTGTGGTTTCCTTTTAAGACTACAATGGAGGCCTTGTGCATATAGACTGAGTTGTGTGTGATTCATGGAGAAATTAGGTACTGTGCCAAATCAGTGTGCTAAAATCAGAGGTGGAGTAGGTACAATTTTTTTCTTCTTCCATAATTTTATCCTGCAACTGTTGGGTAAGAAACCTTTTGAACTTGTTGACTTAAGCAAAAAGTAGATTGGACCTGTTATCACTCGACCTGAGTTTCTCGCCTCACTCTGCCTGTGACCCTTGTTCAATTCTGCTTTGCATCCTAAGTGGGATTTCATCCCTTTCTTGAAGGAAAGACCACAGATGGATGGTAAAGTTTTCAGATTCATGGCATTTCCAGTTGTTTCAGTTTCTTGGGATGGACAACGAGAAGAACAGGACAGAAAGTTGAATAAATATTCTACTGCAATTTCTTACATTCCCCTTATTGAAGGGTTATGCTTTGGGATGAAAAAAATGAGAGTTGTCATGTTAACCTACTGAGGTTGCTTCCACTTGATTACCAGAACTTTTTTTTTTACTGAGATGATCTCAGTGTTCACTAGACGGTTTTCAGATAAAAAATGACATGCTGTTGATCTGCACTTCTTGGGGTTTGGAACATCAGTTGAACATCTGTTGGATGAAACAAATTTGCCTCCCTGAGGACTCTCTTCTCTTAAGTGTTGATGCTGCTGATTGTTTTTCAGAAAGTTTTCCAGGAACTTGATTCAATTCTTACTACAATTCATACTACATTGGTAGCTGTCATTTAGTGTCTGATGGAATGAGATTTGGCATTCATCTCCACTTGTAAACGGGAAGGGGACCCTTCCCTTGGCCTTCCCCATTTTTTTAAACCAACTCAGAGAGGCAATGTGAGAATATGAATTTCATCATTAGGGTCTGGAAGAGGTTCTGTGGCTCTACAGTGTGCAAACGTTTCCTATCGTATTCTGATGATTTTTTGTCTTCAGTGTTGCATTTATGGCTGATTGTGTCAGAAAGCATTTGTGGACTCCGCTTGGCATCCTGGTACTTTTGAGGAATGCAACTGGATTAGGGAACGATGCCGTGACAAGTCTTCCTTTGTTGTTTCTTCATCCTTTCTTGACATAATCACTGAGATTTCCTTTCTTTTCTCAAAGTCCATCTTCTTAATGCTTATTCTGGGAAGGGTGATATGGTGGGGAACTTTAGGGATCCTGGAGTAGCTTCTGCTAACACCAACTGCAACCTTAAGAACTTTTGGACCATTTTCACATTGCTCTGGAGAGAGATGCAAAGCTTGGTGTACAAACGCTTGTGGTGTTTTCTATTCAGCTGTTGCTTTCAAGAAGGCAGAATATGGTTTTCTTCATACTATGGTGAGAAAACAGTTTATTACATTCTAAAGAACTGCCATTAAGAAGAAATATTCTACTACAATTCAAAGCTAAAATGAAAATGCTGCTGATTGCAGTAGAAAGTGGTCGGTTGCATCTGAGCATAGTTTGAAAACGAATGGGTTGGTTCCTTACAAGTATGAATGGATTCCACTTAATAAAATAACATTTTCTTGAAAAGTCACATTTGAAAGTACTCTGCAGTATGATATAAGGGACTGCAGAGAGAGAGTGTGTATTGGCAGAAATTGCTGAATCTCTTTATTCGGGCATAAATATTTTTCATTTGCACTCGGTTTCCCTTGGGTCCAATTCAATGAGTTTACAAAGAAGGAAGTTATAGTTCTTGGTTTGTAGACTTTGAAAATTGTTTGGAAGACGTATGTTCCACCAGTGAGTTTAATAGGCCTTCAGTGCCATCTGGTGGGTGATTTGTCATGGTCCTATAATGCCACCAAGGATCATACAAAAACTGTTGATTTGAAGTGACTGGGGAAGCAGAGAGCAAAATGTAAGAAGAGAGGTAAGAAATAATGAATAATAAGTAAATAAGAAACCACTGACCGACTAAATTTAGGCTAATTCAGCCACTGATGAGGTATCATCTGTGAGATTGTGCTACAGTGAACGCTTTCTTATTAGGGGAAAAAAAGAAGGCATGCATTTTGCATCATTATACAGAATTGCTCGGATGCTTAGATGCTCAACCACACAGTGGCGCCAGACTCAAAATAATCCAGAAGTTTCTGATCCTTTTCAAGACATTTCTCCGGGTGGAAGGCTGCCCAACCCTTAAGAAATCTCGCTCTCATTCTGTATCCTTGAGCAGCATCCGCACCCCAAAGTTATCATCTTATTCTGCCACTGATTTGAAAACAACAAAAAAAAAATGACTTGTTTTCTCTGTCGGGTGAGCCGATGATCCCTAAGCACCCCGTTGCCCCCAATATTTCATTAAAGGTGTCTCTTCTAAAGCCGTGCAAAACCGAGTGGATCTTCTTGCCAGCAGAACTTTAATTTAATTTTTACCAATAAGGACCCTCAGGAAATGGGGAGGTAGTCCACTTCCACCACTGCTGGAGAAGCCACTTGTGGGATCGTGCCTCAACCCAGTCTCTAGGGAACCTATATTAGAGCACTCATCAAATTATCTGAATAAATGGGAGAAAGAAACCCAAATGCACGATCCATCGTGTTTCATGATCCAAGGGAGGCCAGACTGTAGATGCTATCAAGCTTGGAAGGTTCTTCATAGAAATGAGGAGATGGCTTCCTCCTAAGAATCTTGAATAGTTGTTGATCTGAGGCAGCCAAAGAGGAAATGTTGCAAGCTGTGAGGTTGTTGTTGCAATTTTCAGAAGAAAATGGCTCTACCTAGCTAGTATCTGTCCTACTTTTTTTTTTTGCTTGAGAAGTTAAGTATCATAAATGGTGAAATGGCGAGAAATGAATGCTTTGATTCCAGTCGTATTAAAACAGGCTGTGTGTTCCAGCAGAGGCTGTCTTTGTAAGGGAATTGTGTTCTTTCTTTTAATTTGAAAACATTTCAGGCTGTTTTACTGAATGAATACTTCTTTGTGGCTGGGTAGGTAATGCTATCGAACAAACAGTGCCCAGATTTTTTTTGATTTTTTTTTTTACTGCTTTGAAACTTGACCTCCCGTGTGGTCAAATAAACTCAGATTTCAGTATAAAGAGGAACTTGTAAGTATTATTGAATTTGCAGTTCTGCAACATTTATGCCCAGTCATAATTACACCTCAGACAGAGGCGCCCACAATTCTGGTGGAAAATGCAGTAGTTGGTGTGGTTGCAAAAGGAAACTTCATAGTCCATTAAAAGCATAACATGTTGACTTTTAGTATCCACTGGAAATAACTGTTAGGTTTTCTGTATATTAACAGTGGTGAATACCCTATTAGGTAGGTAGAGATGTCACCTTCTAATGTGGAACAGGAATGGCAGTGTGGCAGAATAAACAAGAAATATAAATGTTGTAATTTTTGATGCTACTTCTTGGAGATCCATAGATTGACAAATGGGGTTGCCACCGGGTCCCATTGATATAACCCTCTTGTTCAAGGTTTCTCAACCTTTGCAACTTTAAGACATGTGGGCTTCAACTCCCAGAACTCCCCAGCCAGCATATGCTAGCTGGGGAATTCTGGGAGTTGAAGTCTACACGTCTTAAAGTTGCAAAGGTTGAGAAACACTGCTCTTGATGATCTCTTTAGTTGTCTTCTCTTGATGTTTTTCACCTTCTTGTAAGCTGCTCAGAGCTGTTTAGCTGGTGGCAGCCTTAGAA